GATCTGAGCAGCAGAGCCTGTTCAATACACTCTCTTCTCCCCTGTGATATAAAGGCAGCTGAGCCAGTCACTGTAGCCAGAAGAGGCTTCACGACCAAGCTTCCCCACTGCCCATTTCAATAAACATTGCCACATATTGGACAATTAGTGCATTCCAACAAGGCAGAAATGACTTCTGGACCATTCTGCTGACCGGAACACTTACAACGATGACATGTTAAAAGTTGTGGAAATCATTGGTTATAATAAAGGGGAGATGAGCCCAGCCCTCCTTCCAACAAAATTCGGGTGCCAAAGAATATTTCACCACGTTTTCAAAAATAAAAAATACAAACATATTCAGTAGTCCAAATATCTGATGACAGTTGGCACCCACAACCTGCCTTTAGTCAAACACCTGTGCTGTTTCCCCCTGTAAGTTTGCTCAATGGTTCATGCTTTGACAACTGTTCCCAAATGTTGAGTTTCTGCAGATATAGATGACCCCCCCAAAAAAACCCCTTGTGTCTTGGATCTACCACTTGAAGCAGTGCCTTCAGCCTAATTCAGAATCTTTTCTTTCTGTGATGGTTGATGGGGAGGGATAGCGAGGGAAACTCTGTTGCACCTCCTTCTTTTGAATTTTAGTCACTGGCCATGTCACGGCCGGTAGGGATTTCCAATGGGAACCTCATTATCTGTGCTTTGGGGTTTGTTGCACAGGGCTGGAGCCAGACTTCAAGAGGCCCTTAGCCCAGTGCCGCTAATACCCTGCACCCCCCCTCCAACTAGTGCAGGGCCTGTCTCTAAACCTGATCCTATGGGACCATACATCTTTACAGATCTACTGTCCTACTGGGATTATAGCTATATAAAATGCATACCTAGGATTTTAATGATCTATAGGCAAGGTAGTACGTAATTCTGGGCAATTAAACACAGCAGGTGGACACAACAGATGGGAACTGAGCACAGAGGCCAATTTCAGCTGGGAGTATGAATTTTCAGAGGTCTTGGTGTTAGGATGACTATGGCCCAGCCCTGGCTGAGGCTGAAGGGAGTCCAAAACACCTGGGGGGCATCAGGTTGGAGAAGGCTGGGTCGATTTGCTGGAGATGCCAGCCATATCTGCAGCCAGTCAGGCCATCTTCCTGCTCCTTAGCAGACCTCTGCTGCCAAGCGACTGCTGTACACAAGCCCATTCCATGTTCATTCCAGGCAGAGTCTTTGGATGTTGCCAAACGATCACTAGATTGTTAGGGAGAGAAGCCAGGGGTATTTGGCATCCTCCCTGGTCCCTTGCAAAGTATCTCTTCCTGAGCCCAAATAGCTTGTGGGAAATGAAGACAAATGGCTGCTGCTTGATGACTCTTTAAAGGCATTGGAAACTCATCAGTTGCAAAATGTGCAAAAAGTTGGTTGACAGCTCGGAGAAGGGAGAGGGATCCCGTGGCCAGGATTTTTTTGGAGAGTTGGGCTAGCCATCAGAAGTCAATGTGAAGCCACTTAAATAAAAATGCAAGTGTTCAAAAGATGGTATTCAATCATTTCTGCTACTAGAAATTTGCATTTTAATAAAAGGGGGAAATGTATTATTATACCATGTGCTTGTCAGTCATGCCAGAGTCTTTCTTCTCATTAGCCAGAGCACTAGAAGATGGGACCAGTTGTACCCTTTGATCGATTAAGCCAGGCATAGGCAAACTCTGGCCCTCCAGATGTTTGGGACTACAATTCCCATCATCCTTAGCTAACAGGACCAGTGGTCAGGGATGATGGGAATTGTGGTTCCAAACATCTGGGGGGCCGGAGTTTGCCCATGCCTGGATTAAGTTGTTAGGCATCTTGATTAACTGGGCAACATAACTGTGCAGAGTGAGGTTGATTGTAATTGTAGTCTGAAACATCTGGAGGGTCCCATATAATGCCTGCTGCTGTGGCATAGATGTGCATAATTATTTTCTTTAACAGAATCACAGAATTGTAGAAATGGTAAAATTTCAGATTCGATACAATTACCTTCTGGGATTAAAAACAAAACCCTCCTTTTGTTGAAAGAGGAAGGTCTTCAGCACACACTGTTGCTCTCTCTTCTTAAGGTTCTTTAAACGGTACTTGAACCTTTAAAATGTAAGACGCTAGAGAAGCCTTTCTCAGTCTTGGGTCCCCAGATGTTCTTGAACTGCAGTTCCCATCATACCTGACCACTGGCCATGCTGGCTATGAATGGTGGGAGTTGTTGTCCAACAATACCTAGGGACCCAAGGATGGGAAGGGTTGCCCTAGGGTGATGAAGAACAATGCAGAACACACACACAAATATCCTGCACCTGTCTTTGTCCACCTGGTGTCCTCCAGATGTTTCAGACTATGACTCCCAACAACCCCAGCCAGCATGGCCATATAATACTGTTGCAGTCCCCATACATCTGGAAGGCACATGTTTAGTGGAGGATGCAGATAATTATGGAGCAACCCCCCTCTCCCATTTAGGTTTGCAACTGGGCTCAGAAAACAATCTCCTCCACCAAATGGGAGAATAGCTCCAAAACTCAGTTTTGAACCAAATCAGACCCTCACATGCCCTGGAAGATGTCGTTGGAAACTTGACGGGGTTCTGATCCCTTCTTCAAGGCCTTCACTTGTTCATTTACTTTGCCAGTCATCAACAGGTCTCCTCTTCTCTTCCCATTGGTGAGGTTCCTGCTCTCCTTTCTTTTTACCCACTTACCAGGCTGCTACTTCCTGCAATGCATCCCTCCTCATCCCATAGGCACAAGCAGACCTGGGGTGTGTAGTTTTCCAAAGAACCATTGTAGATGCCAGTTGTCTTTGAGTTGCAGTTCCCAAGGTCTACTTTGCCTAGAACCCACAGTTTTTAGTCAGTAGGTAGGACAGAGGAAGGAATCAAATTCTTCTCCGGCTGAAATAAAAATCAGCCAGAGAAGAACTATGGCTTCACAATGTGCTCCTTGCCTTGGAAGTAAGCATTGTGAGCTGCAGGGTTCATATTTCCAAGCCAAGCAATATGCGGTTCAGAGATATCTCTAGCGCAGGCAAAGCCACAGGGGTCAATTCCTTGGCTAGCCCTGCTTCCATTCTCCTTCCCCTCGGTGGCTAGTTTTTAAGATTCCCTTGCTGGATCCCGCTGTTTCCTCTTTCCTCCATGCACAGAACAGCTGGTAAAGAGCTGCATTTGGCCAGCACTCTGGGTTTGCAAACACTGCATGCAAAGTCTCATTACCCACAGTGGCTGCTACAGTGAGCAAAACATGTACCCCGTTGTGCTCACCATCCCAGACAGGCAACAATGTGCAAAGTAATTACTTCTGGCTGCCGGGAAGATGGAGTTGCCTGCCCTGGAGGAGGAGGGAATGGTTCTCTCATGCATCAAAATGGTTTTGCTTCAGCATCCCATGGTGGCAAAAGGAAGGGAAAGCTTTGCAGGAGGGAATGAGAGAGAACAGTTTGTGTCAGAGAAGCATCACTACTGATGCGTCTCTGTCCTTGTGCCCCTCAAGGAGACTTTGGTATCAAACAGGTGTGGGGAACTGTTGGCCCACCAGATGTTGCTGAACTAGAATGCCCATCACCCCGGCCATTGGCAACTCTTGCCAAGGCTGATGGGAGTTGCACTTCAGCAGCATCTGGAGAGCCAAAGGCTCTCCACACTTGGTACAGAAGTAGGAGCTGGAGTAAAAGGTAAAGGTAAAGGGACCCCTGACAATTAGTTCCAGTTGTGACTGACTCTGCGGTTGCGGCACTCATCTCGCTTTATTGGCCGAGGGAGCTGGCATACAGCTTCCGGATCATGTGGCCAGCATGACTAAGCCGCTTCTGGCGAACCAGAGCAGTGCACGGAAACACCGTTTACCTTCCCGCCGGAGCAGTACCTATTTATCTACTTGCACTTTGACGTGCTTTCGAACTGCTAGGTTGGCAGGAGCAGGGACCGAGCAACGGGAGCTCACCCCTTCACGGGGATTCGAACTGGCAACCTTCTGATCAGCAAGTCCTAGGCTCTGTGGTTTAACCCACAGTGCTACCCGCATCCCTAGGAGCTGGAGTAGAAGGACCTTAAAAGTGATGACGGCCATCAAGGAGGAAGTGGTTTGCCATAAGAGGCTGGTCCTGTTATGGGGCAGGTGAGGTGTTAGCCAGCCTCAGGTGGCAGGTTTTGGGCATCCTCAAAGGGGCAGCACATTGTCAGCTATTTAATTCATGCTCTTATATATGTTTTTATGCAGAAGTATCTGAACATATAACATGCTACTTTATGCTGTTTCCATCACTGTTTACAACTGACAGGACCAGCTCACCTATGAAGTAGAGTGAGGCAGCTGCCTTGGACAGCAGAAGCCCAAGAGGTGGTGCCCCAATGCGGACCCCACCTGCCCCGCCAGCAGAGAAGCAGGCATTGGCATGCAAGCCAGGAAAAAGGGAGGCTTTGGCAGCATGGGAGGCAACAGCGGGGCAGCAATGCAGGCTCATGGCATCACAGTATGACAGTCTCGTTTTGCCTCAGGTGGCAAAATGGGATGCATCCCCTCAATTAAAAAAACTGAGTTCGGGGGGGGGGTTGTTGCTTACTGGGGAGGGCGGAGTTGCCTGTTTTGCACGGTTGTGGCCCTGCTTTTCCTTTGATTTTTGCAGTGTCTGTATTTTGCTGTTGGGGAATTCTGCACATTCCCTGTCAAGATGGTTAAAACACTCAGGGATTTAAGCTCTGTGAGGGTACTAGGAGTCTTCAAACAACTTTCAGCACCCTTAACATACTACAGCTCCCAGAATTCCATGGGGAAAGGCACGGGTTTTTTTTAAGTGGCATCATAGTGTTTCAAATATATCTTGTGAATGTGACCTGTGACCCCCAGTCACTCTTCAAGGTCTAGGGCAGAGCCTGGGGGTCTTCTGCCTGTAAGGCTTTTCCATGGAGTGATGGGCCCTTCCTAGGGTTTTTCCATCTTGGCATAGCGAACTATCTGTTCTCTGAGGTCTCCAGGCTACCTCATACTTTTAACTGGAGAGCCTGGGGATTGGTCCTGGGTCCTTCTGCATGCCAAGCAGGTGCTCTCCCACTGAGTTACAGCCCCTCCCGACAGCCAGTGTGGTGAAATGGCTTGCGGGTCTTACTCTTACCAGGAAGACCTGCTCTCAACTCCCCATTCAGCTGTTAAGCTCTATAGGTAACCCAAGGACAATCATTTCCCATTCCAGCCAACCTCACAGATTATTGAGAGGATAAAATGGTGTGTGTGTGTGTGTGTGTGTGTGTGTGTGTGTGAGAGAGAGAGAGAGAGAGAGAGAGAGAGAGAGAGAGATCTGTATACCTTTCTGAGCTCCTTGGAGGATATGATTCCACCAAAAACTCAGCATAGATGACTGGATGCAGCACTGCAAGTCAGGCTTTCCTAAATGATCTTCAGGGAAGGTTGTCAAGAAATATCTGCAAAGGGGAGATTCAAGATCGGTGTGTGTGTGTGTGTGTGTGTGTGTGTGTGTGTAACCCACCCCAGAGAGATGGATGGGAACATCTTTTTGTGCATGTGTAGGATCAGCAAACGAGAAGCCAGCCACTTGACCTGTTCCCTGAACTTATTCCAAATCTGTCAGGCATGGAGAAAATTGAGACTATAACTCAGATTTGCCCTCTTTGGTAGCAATAAGACCATTTCCCTCATGGTGGGTCATTTGTCTTAATTGGCCTGCTGTGCCTTCGAGGACTAATTTCCAGGTCAAACCGGCCTTAAATTAGGGAACGGGGAGTGTAATTGTGCAAGTGTGTGTGTGTCTGCGTGTGTGTTTTCAACAATTCCGGTGCCCAGCCCTTTGCTCTTAACAACACATCAACAGGAACTGCACATTTACAAATCCTGGTGCCCACAAAATTCATATAAAGCTTCAAAGGTTTGCTTCATAGCTGTGCGAGAGATAAAACACACTTGCATGCTGCTTAAAGGGGGCTTTTAAAATGAATTCTTTAAAACTCAGCCCCCTCCAGTCATTCTTTCAAATTGTGGATTCATGATTCATGATTATTAAGCAGCTGAAGGAGAAGAGGGCAGAAGCTGGAGAAAGAACTGTGAGTGGAGGGCTGTCCTTTCCTGACCCTTGGGACCCCCTGGGAAACTCACCAAGCTTGCTGTATGTGGAACTGGACATGGGGAGCGGGGCTGTATGGGACTCAGCGGCCAGCAGCCTGAGGATGAACCTTGGGCCTACCCATAAAAAGCAAACATAGGGTGGAAGATGGGTGCTATCAGCAGTCTCCAGGAGCCTTTGTGATTTATTTTGTGGGTTTGTTTGGGCCCTGGGTGAGAGCCAGGAGGCTGAGAGGGGATGCATGCGAGAAGAAGGAACTGATAATTGCTTTATATGTGTTAGTAATTTAGCACCAATGTAACAGTTTTATATGTAGCCGTTTATTTTTGTAAAATTTGCTGCTGCTTAAGTTGTCTCTTGTTGCTTTACTTTTCTGTACACCACTTAAAAGGATATATTAAGTGAAATAGAGTTGTTCTAAATGAAATAAAACAATTAGTGCTCGTTATTATCAGGGCACTTGTACACAATCTCAATACTGTTTGCACTTGCAAAAAATGTGGAGCAAAAATACCGCTTCTTTTCCAGCTGGGGGCATGTCCTGTTAGCTTCCTGCTCAAATCTTATAATGTTTTGTACCACAAATGTTCATGGGTGTGTGGGTATGCTTGTCCTCTTTTGTTTTGCTATAGCAGAAGTGTACGCCCCTCTGGGTAGTAATAATGTGGTATCATCTGGGAAGCACCACAGAGCAAATAATAAAATGGATTGATGTGTGGATGGTCCAACATAAACTCACCAGCAATATACTATTTTTGTGTCCTCCCTAATGAGGTGTGTCTGTCTCCACCATTATTCACTTTCAGGAGTAAATTGAAAACATTCCTACTTACCCAGGCATTTGGTGGCTGAAGAATATTGTTCCTGTCAATTCCAAGATCAGGGTATGAAGGAATCCTTTTAACTGAAGCTGCTTTTAGAAGTTTTAATTGCAATTGTGTTTTTTTATTCCTATACTGCATATCTGTTTGCCATCCAGGGTCTTCTCCCCAACCTGAACAAGAGATTTATCATGTAGTGAATCAGAACTGTGCATGCTGTGATACTGTGGCAAAAGAAGCCAGTTCAGGGTGAGGGCAATGCTCCCTGAGCAGGCCTTGCCCTCACTAGGAGTTGGCTTAGTTTGCCCTCTGTATCATTGCCACGTAGCCAAATCGGATCGGGTATGGCAGCCAACCATAGCCTCTAAGATGATTTTAACTAGTGCAGAAAGGGGAGGGTTTGGGAATGTTTACAGTGGACACTCGGGTTGTGAACGTGATCCGTGTGGGATGCATGTTCGCAACCTGCAGCAGCGCGTCTGCGCATGTGCGGGCTGCGATTCGGCACTTCTGTGCATGCGCAAAGTGCAATTTAGTGCTTCTGCGCATGCAGGACTCCCAAAACCCGGAAGTAACCCGTTCCGGTACTTCCGGGTTTTGGCGGGTCCGTAACCCAAAAAAACGCAACCAGAAGGGTCTGTAACCCGAGGTATGACTGTAGTGCCTTTGCTGCACACTTAAAATAAAGTTTGGCTGCGAATGTTCAGCAGAACCCTAGAATAAAACTTCTCTCCACATATCTGGGCTGACAGCTCAATTACCCCAGCATAACCCTTCCTTGGAAGGAACAAAATAAAAAATAAAAAATGGTGGATCCAGATCCGATTTGAGAACAAGCAAGGTAGATAGGACTGAAGGCAAATGCCAGCAGCTGAAGAGCCCTGTCGTAGGAACGGCCCCTTCTGCCTCTATTGCACAGCAAAATAATCTACAGTGCCACTTTGATTAGAAGGTCCTTTACAATTTTGAAACTATGTCTGCAGTGTACCCTGACCTTGCCCCTCTCCCCTCCATCCCCACCGTAAGAGTGTGTGAGTACGCAGGGGTTTGTGTCTTCCGCGTGGGCCTCATGTTCTATTTATAAAACCACACCACCTGCCACAGAAGCAGACATTTAATTTACTTGCAGTGCTGAGATCAGTGAGCTGTTTGTTTTTCTTCCTACTTCAAAGCTGCTTAGCGGGAGAGTCCAGAGGACAGATTTACATGAGGCTTCTTAGTGCGGCTGGTGATCTGACAGGGGAATGGCGTCAGGTGCGCTTCCCCCCTCCTTTGCTGCAAAACCAGACAACTCTGACTCCCCATGGAATTGCTGCCTCTGCTCCCCCCAAATCGATAGAAACCTTTCCACATTTTTTCTCTTGCATTTATTTTTCAGTGGAGAGCTTATGACGCCACATCTAGGCCGTGTACAAACTGACCTGGGGTTAGTTCGTAGAAAGAAGTAGTTTTTCCTTGAACGGGAATTGCTCCTCTTCAACATGCTGCTTTCTGTCTAGATCAGTGGCTCCCAAATGGGGCAGTGCCATCCCCTATGGGTGGTGGGGTTGCCCAGGGGGTGGGGTCTCAAGAGGCAAGTGGGTGGTAGGGGTACTGGAGGTGTAAATGCTTATCAGACTTTTTTGTTGAATCCATTTAACTAAATAGGTTTACCTCGGTAGGGCTTGCCGATCAGAAGGTCGGCGGTTTCTCAACTCACGTTGTTCTCTGCATACTGTAAAATTGTATACATCATTTTATTATCTATCTACCCTCAATAAATTTGTGTATGTTTATTCAAAACCTGCCAAGGAGTCCAGTTCATTTTGTTGTCTTTTTAAATATTTTGTAAAAAGTTCCCATTCTTCTTTGAAGTCACAGTTGTCCTTATCTCGCAATTTGTATGTCAGTTTCGCCAGTTCTGCATAGTTCATCAATTTCTCTTGCCACTGTTCTTTTGTCGGGGTTTCCTCATTTTCCCATCCTTGTGCTATCAAGACTCTCTTTTTAAAAAAAATAATATTTATTAATAATTTCAGAATTACAAAAAAAGAAAAAAATAAAGAACAACACTACAATACATAAAAAGAAGAAAAAATGCAAAACATAAAATCCAATACAACAATACAGCAAAAAAGAAAGTAAAAAAAAAAAAGGAAGGGAAAAAAGACACAAATCCCACATTACATATCTTCAACTTCCATTTGCTTGTTTCATTGACCTCCTCACACCTCCCTTTTTGTATTCTAGTTTAGTTAGTTATTTCAGCAAATTCTTTCCATCTTTCTCCATTTTTGTTAAATAATTTATCTTCACAGTTTAACCTATTAATTAACTCGACAGATCCTTTCCATCTTTCCCCATATTGTTATTCAAATTACCCTAATTTATTTAACCTTATCTTACCATAAAATACCTTAAAGCTTAAAACTTAATACTCAGTTATACATAACTCCTGATGTCATTTCTGCTAGAGTCATATAGTTTCATTCCAACATTTTCCCTAATATTCATTAATTTTAGGCTAATTCCCTAAATAAAAAATTTTCTTTATAATTTTTCTTCCAATCATCATCCAACGTCTCTTCTTCCTGGTCTCGGGTCGTGTCAGTCCTTACTGTCCATTCCATCTAGTCCATCAACCTGGAAGTCTTATGTCCAAGGCCCTTAAGTCTCTTCCATGTCCCTTCTGCAGATCATCTTCTTCTTGTTTATACTTGCCCTTTTCCTTGTCTTTTGTTGGTCTCTTTCTTAATTTCTTTCCTTTCTCATTGAGGAGTAGGTCTCTGGGGGATTCCAACCCAAAATTGTCTCCATCTCCCTTCATCAAACCCGCCCATTCCCCACAGTCCCACTCCCCACAGTCATCAGTGTAATCCAAAAAGTATTTAAAAGCATATTTCAAGGTCTCTCCAAAGTTAAGAACCTCCTCAGCTCCAGACTCCCCCTGGCCCGCTCCAACTTCAATCTTCAATGACAGCGGCTTATGCTCCTGTAGGGCCTCTGTCTCTCCATTTGTATTATTTGAGGTGCAACCGCATCCTCCTCCATTATCTTCTGCACTTGCCCAGTCAGTACAGGTTCATGAGTTGGTTTCTGAATGGTTTCTGTATCAATGTTCCCTGTTTGTCCACAGTTATTAACCACAACAGTCATCAAGTCCATTTTCTCATTCATCAAATCCATCTTCTCGTGCATCTGTTCCAGCAAGGCACTTGTCTTGCATAAAGCAAGCACCCAGACTTCCTCCCAGCTCATCTTTAGTCAAGGTCAGAAAAGACTGGTCCCACGATCTTAATCTCACAGCTGTTGAGTCCTCAAGTAGACTGCAGCAACAATTTAACAAGCTCCTCTAGAGGAGACAATTTCTATTTGTATCCATTTTTTTTTAAGGCAAGTCCAACAAAGGAAAATTACTTTCATTTTTCAGATATTTTTCAGATATTTTGTTTCTTTAGAATTGAAAAGGCAACATTGGAATCAGTTTATTTCTCTTCTTTAGCTATCTGTCAAAGTATTCCAATCACAGTCAATGAACCTCTCCAACTATTTCTCTGACACCCCGTTCCCAGGTTAGAGACGGTGGAAACTTACCCTTCTTCACTCCCTCTCCTGCAGGGGTTAAACAAAGCCCCCCCCTTTTCTCCTGCTTCCAAGGGGGTTTCAGTAATTATAAAATGAAGGAAATTTAGACTTTTTTAACGGCTTTCCAGGCTTTAGCTTACAAGGTTTTTGCTTTAGTCTATATACAAAAAGCGGAAGGCGGACTTCCTGTTTTGAACCTTCCCGCTTCGATGCCAAATTAATATATTTCTTGATCCAATTTTCCGTTTCTACTCACGGGTACTTGTTTTAAATCCAATTGTCCACAGGAAAAAGTCAGCGCTCTCCGGCAATGGCTGTGCGGCTTCACTCCGTGAAAGTAGCAATCAGTTCGCAGCACCGCGCCGCTCACCCCACTTCGCTCCGGCGCCCCAAAATGGGGTTCCCGGTGAGTAGGGGGGGCGCTCCTGGTGCCCTGCCGAACCCCACGTTCCCAGGCTTCCTCCGCCTGGGATTTCTAGCGGGTCCCCACCTTCACTGTGGCGGGAAGACCCAGTTTCCACGGAGCCCGTTCCTCCGGTTGGAGGAACTCCGCCATTCACCGATGGCGCTGACCCGGAAGTCCGTGCTATCAAGACTCTTGCCGCTGTTGTAGCATACATAAATAAATTCTTCATTTTCCTTGGGAGGTCTTGTCCTACAATCCCTAACAAACATGCTTCTTTTAAAAAATTTTTTTTTTACAAATGTCATTTTAAACATTTTCTTCAATTTCCCAGAATTTTTTAATTTCTCTGCATTCCCACCACATATGGTGAAAGGTCCCTTCCTTTTTTTACATTTCCAACGTATGTTTGACCTGGTTTTATACATTCTTGCTATCTGTACTTGTGTTATATACCATCTATACATCATTTTCATGTACTTTTTCATGAAAAAACACATATATGCAACTTGAGCCTATGATGGAGGGGATTGAACCTGCAACCTTGGCGTTATCAGCACCGTGCTCTAACCTACTGAGCTATCCAGGGGTTCACAGCATTAAACACCCCAAAGGGTCTTGTCTCTCCCAAGCATCTTGTTTCTTCCAGGAGAAATAAGGCATGGCTCTGTCTCTCAGCTGCCCAGCCTACAGCCTTTGCACCCAGCTTCTAGCTCACAGCACTCAACTCTGAACTCTGGCCTTTTGTCTTTCTAACTAACAATCACTTGAGGGACTGGGGGGGGCACCCATTTGCTCTTTGGCACAGAGCTACTCCCTTTGTCACCTTAACAACCCATGTTTAGTGGGTCATTACTAGGTTGTCCTGTCTATTCCAGCAATTGAATCTATGCTGGATCCAGGAATTGGAAGGGGGGTGGATCAGGAATATAATATACCCTCCCCGCCCCCAGCTCAGTAATGTAAAATCAATCTGCATTAAGTTTCCAGGATGAAACTAGCTTGTGAAAAAAGCGCTTTTCAGGGCATAAAATACACAACAGGTCCTGAATGTGTGTTGCAAAACCATGTCTTTTACTGGAACCAGGATGGGCTCTTGCAGAATTTCGTAAGCTCCCTCCTCCCTTTCCTCCCAGTTTGTCAAGAAGAAATAGGAATGCAGGCCCAGCCAGGGATGTCTCCCCAAGGCACCTGCCCTTTTCTTTTTAATATTCCGTTTCATTTATTTTGTCAGAAGCTTATAATTCAATATCGTGTACAAAATAAGGAAATAAAGGGTGAGGTGGGGGAAAAATACAACTGAATAAAAAGTAAACACAGAAAAATCATGCGTACAAATATAGGTCACAGTCCCTGGGAAGAAGAATAATTATTGGCATTGGAGGGTAGTAACATGTCCTTTTAAAATATTTGTTTTGTTTGTTAAGTGTCAGGATGTTATCCTCGGGGCCTGATGATGTTCTCACTTGAGTTATTAAAAATTTCAATTAGGAGCACAGTTCATGGGAGGCATTTGAACAATACAGATTGTTTTGCTACATGGTTGAAAATGATTTGTGTTGTTTCTCTGTCCACTGCTATACAGTGGTACCTCGGGTTACATACGCATCAGGTTACATATGCTTCAGGTTACAGACTCCACTAACCCAGAAATAGTACCTCGGGTTAAGAACTTTGCTTCAGGATGAGAACATAAATTGTGCTCCGGCGGCACGGCGGCAGCAGGAGGCCCAATTAGCTAAAGTGGTGCTTCAGGTTAAGAACAGTTTCAGGTTAAGAACGGACCTCCAGAACGAATTAAGTACTTAACCCGAGGTACCACTGTACCTTAATTTTTGAGTTCCTTTTCAGCATTAGCTATGGATTTTAAGGTAAAGGTAAAGGGACCCCTGACCAATAGGTCCAGTCGTGGCCGACTCTGGGGTTGCAGTGCTCATCTCGCTTTACTGGCCGAGGGAGCCAGCGTACAGCTTCTGGGTCATGTGGCCAGCATGACTAAGCCACTTCTGGCGAACCAGAGCAGCGCACGGAAACGCTGTTTACCTTCCCGCCAGAGCGGTACCTATTTATCTACTTGCACTTTGATGTGCTTTCGAACTGCTAGGTTGGCAGGAGCAGGGATGGAGCAACAGGAGCTCACCTCGTCACAGGGATTCGAACCGCCGACCTTCTGATCGGTAAGTCCTAGGCTCTGTGGTTTAACCCACAGTGCCACCCGCGTGTACCATAAATTCTTATTTAACCCTTTCTGAAGGCTTCCAACCTTTTCAGTCATTCACTGGGCTCATCCAGTAGCAGCCAGAGATGATGCAGAGAAGCTGGGCCAATGGCAGTCAGAGAAGCCCCGCCCCCTCTCTCTCTGGCAGCCAGGCTGGCCAACCAATCAGAAACGATACAATGCTAGGCAGATTAATTCCTGCAGATTGCAGGGCAGGCAGTCACTAGCCTACAGGTCTATTAATTGCATTGTACAAATAGAAGGTCCCATCTGTGCATGCAAAGAAACAAACACCTGTCTGGGTTTTTTAAAGGGGTGATCCCCACCCCCTTTTCTCTTGCAGGGCTGCTACACTGGCAGAGTTACTCCTGATGTGTCTGTGGACACGTCGTCTGGCAGCAAATCGTTTCTTCCCATCGCTGTGCACGCTAAGCAATTAACGGAGCCATTAAAAGCGAAAGGCATTCGCTGCACTGAAATTAATGGCAAGAGCAAATTAAAAACGAGAAGGCACACTCGCTCAGCCCTGGGCAAAGTAAGGGCTTTTAATGTATTTTTAATTCTTAATTCTCATTCTCCCTCTCTCTTGTCTGTTTGGTGTCAACCATAAAGGGCCTCTTTGGATGCTGCCTCTCTGGGAACAGTGTAAAGAGGTTTTCCAATGAAATATGCCCCTCACCAGGATGGGCTGGTGGGTGGATTTTGGCATGGTAGGTTAACTGGTCTGGAGGAAGTCTGAGAAAGAATTGCCTCCACCCTCGGGTCAGGTCAATTGCCCAAAACTCAGGCCAGTGAGTTTGGTTTGACCTCCACTATGATTCATCCTCAGTCCACTCCTCAAAGTCCCCTGCTCCTTTATTTTATTTTTAAAAAACATTTTTATTGATTTTACAAATACAAAGTACAAATAAACACAAACTAGTAAAGATATATCTGTATAAAAGGATTCTCTGAATCTCGGTACTTCCCCCTATTCCTTCTCATTTTAAGAATCTGCATCTGCATATTTATAAGTACTCCAATTATTATATCAGACCATATTATCCATAGTATTTTTACACTACAAGTGAATCAAAATCATGCTCTTGTTTCCATCTGCTTACAGTGGTCTCCTAAATCGCTTATAAATTTTTCCCATTCTTTTGTAAAGTTTTTGTCCTCTTGGTATCTGAGTTTTCCAGTGAGCTTTGCCATTTCGGCGTAGTCCATCAGCTTGGTTTGCCATTCTTCTCTGGTAGGGACTTTGTCTTCTTTCCAACTCTGGGCTAATAACATCTGATCAGCTGTTGTTCCATACATAAAGAGTCTTTCCTGCTCCTTTGGTATATCGGTACCTGTAATTCCTAATAAAAAAGCTTCTAGTTTCTTAACAAAAATTATTTTCAACATCCCCCCCCCCATTTCATTATATATCATCTCCCACAAAGCTTTCATTACCTCACAAGTCTACCACATATGATAAAAGGTACCTGGAACCATTTGCAATTTACATACAGTGGTACCTCTGGTTAAGAACTTAATTCGTTCTGGAGGTCCATTCTTAACCTGAAACTGTTCTTAACCTGAGGTATCACTTTAGCTAATGGGGCCTCCTACTGCTGCGCCACTGGAGCACTATTTCTGTTCTCATCCTGAAGCAAAGTTCCTAACCCGAGGTACTATTTCTGGGTTAGCAGAGTCTGTAACCTGAAGCGTCTGTAACCCGTAGTACCACTGTATCTGCATGCCTGATGTGTACCTGCTGGTGGTGTAATAAAGCAAGAATGTGACACTTCCTTCACCCGCCAAGCAATACAGTCATCTGCCAGAGCAGTATTATGTGATAGATACTATAAATATCTTTTTGGCAGGGGTGTGTGTGTGTTGGAGGGCAGGTCCAGACCTGCAAAGAGCCCACTGTTAGCTTGGTTAAGCTCAAATAGTGACTGGACCAAAGTCACCCAATGAACTTTATGGCTGACCAGGAATGCAGACCCAAGTTTTCCCAGCCAAAGTCTACTTGCATCACTCTTTCGCCAGCTCACTACCTAATAGATTGGGTACCATGTTCTGTATCGCTGTAGTTTGAGAGACACATGGATCAACACAAATCATGTGGCTTGGTTTTTCTCTAGGGGCGTGGCTATGAGGGTTGTCATGATGTGTTCCTGCATTTCAGAATTTAGCACCTTTCTCATAGTCTTCCCATTCATTCATTCATGCATTCATTCCATGTAGGGTTGCCATATTTCAAACAGTTTAAATCCAGACAGAAAATCGGGACCCTGGAGCAATGGATCCTGGGAAGTCTCCCAGCCTTCCCTTGCCCTGTCATCTTCCTTCAGGCAACGCTGCCTTACCTCCACTACCCAAAGTACCCTACCGCTGTCCCTGCTGCAGCCCATCCAGGCTGCAAATCAATTACTGCAAAAAAAGAGAACCTTGTCTGTTAAAGACACCGGCAAATGAAATTCATTTGAGCGAAAGGTCAGAAGATTATCAATAGATGCCGACTCGGCTGCTGCTGAGATGGCCGCTTCTCCAGGGCCCAGACTTTCTATGAATATGTCTTGTTCCAATTAGCTGCCCGTCGCCTTTCTGCTGGAGAGGTTCATTGTGTCAGAAACTCATCTAAAAAGTAAAGGAGGAAAGTCCTTATTACTTCCCCGATGCTTTGTGTGAACCAAGGAACTGGCAAGTATTGTATGGATCAGGAATCCACTTTTCTATTATTCCAGTTACTGGTCAGAGATTATTCTCTGATGTGGACAAATGTTCTAATCAGATACAGGGGTTTGTTCACTCCCCCCTTCCCATATCTACATTGCTTTTTTGTTATTCTTTTTCAAGCATGAAAGATTGTTCTGAAGATATGGTGTACATATTCCCCCATCCTATCCTATCTTTAGATTTATCTATCTGCCTTCATCCTCGGTCAGTTTTCGGAGTTACTGTAGATTGTGTCCAAATTCACCCACAGACGAATAGAGATGAGCAGGCAGATGGAAGAATAACTGAGCAGAGAGATGAGTTTCCTGAAAGCAAGAGGCTGGTTCCCAGAGGCTTCCCAGATTGGCTTCAAAACAAGAGCTGAACCTTTCTGACAGGTTTCCAAGGAATGACCCATGGCAAATTGGAACGTGAGGTGCAACAGAGATAGATAGGCTGCTTTTTGAACTCTTCTTATTTTATTTTTATTTTGTGGCCTGTAAACCAGGGATGTGGTGGCTGTGGCCCTGAAAGTGTTGTGGGACCTCTACTCTCATCATCCCTGACCATTGACCATGTTGACTGGGACTGATGGGAGCTGGAGTCCATCCAACAATATCTGGAGGGCCCTAGGAAGGATGGGCAAACCTGTCTGGTGCATTTGAGCAATCAGTCCCTCT